TTTGGGTGCAGGCTACCTGACTTCTCGAAGCCCAATTTTATTCAACATGAAGCCCGGAGGGGATGGCGTCCCATTCGTCGCCGTGCAGTCCATACACCCAGGCGCCGATCTCCTCAGGTGCCTGATGCAACGAGAGGAGGAGATTTATTCTTACCTCAACACCAAATTCGATCATAGAAGGACAAATCTTTACCTAGTTACCAAGATCAGGAAGCTCTTGCACGGGCAACTTGACCGGGTTGGTGGAGACATTTCCACCACAATATCCCTAGGCATTTCGGCAGGATCGGTACCAGGGACTATTTCGTGGGGCGAGAGTCACGGCGAGGCGGGCGGTATAATTGGCTTTGTAGTGGAACAACTTCGATGTCTTGACGTCGAACGTTGGGAGACATTTCAGTACTACATTGACCCTACGCCGACACAGACTAAGTCGAAACTACACGGGTTCAAGGCCTTAGTGCAACGCACTCTGGGGAAGGATGTGATGGCGAATAATGAGACGATTCCCTTGCGGCAAGAAGACACTTTCGACGAGTGAGTCAATTCCTTCATTACACTGAACGAATACTGCACCCGAAGTACTGTCTCGGACTTACTTACAATATGCAGTTGGGAGATGTTTCAAAGAGTGTTACAACAATACAGAAGAATACGCAACCATGAACAGGAGCAGAAAACAGCGGTTCTCTCCGCTAATCAATCGGTCCCGACAATCGTGGCTGGTGCTGACACGTCTTCTGATGTGTCCCCCGTTGCGTCATCTCCGAAGAGTGGATCGTCGAAACCTCTTCACTACACTCCTTCCGGGTCGTACTTGATGCCAAACGAGTCTCCTAAGAGCTTGTCGCGAAGTCACTCAGTATCTCGAACGTCGTTCTCTTCAGACATCCGCAGCCAAATGGGCAGACTCAGCATTGACACACTGAACCCTAGAGGTTCCTCTCAACAACTCAGCGGGTCTTCCCAGGCACCGCAAGACCAGGATGTCCAACCATATCGAACGACAGCAGGGCCAACTACCATCGCAAGCGTATTCGGAGCCCCTGAACAGTCTGGACACATTCTTCCGACGAGCACCCATACTGAGGTATCGCGTCTGCCGGCTGTTGATGTTCATCCATCGCCTTCTCAGTACCAAAGACAAGACAGTGAAATGACGGCAGCTTCCGAGGAATCGCAAGAGATAGAGGAGAGAGACACTCGTCGAGCTGAAATTGTATTTGATTCAGCATCTACAATGGCAAGCGACCCTCAGGATCGCGCGTCCGCGTGAGTGCAAATCTTGAATACTTGCCCAACATTTCAGGAAAGCTGGCTTCATAAGCTAATAAACACATCCTTCCAGTGACGGAGCTAACAGCTGGTTCGCGAGCAAAGATGGGCTTGGAATAAACGGCGTTAACAGATTCTTTAAGAGCCAGGCAAACAGGAGGACGTTTACTAATATTGAAAGTGTCCCGCACGCCAACGTGGCCATCATCGACACCGGCATCGATCTTCGCCACCCTGATCTGAAGCGCTACATCGCCACGAACCAGATCAACGGTGCGCATTGTCGCGACTTTGTTACAGGGGAATCCCCAATCAGTGACAGTACCGGGCATGGCACACACTGTGCGCACCTGCTTCTCAAGGTGTGCCCAACAGCCAAGCTCTATATTTCCAAAGTCTTTGAGACCGATAGGGGCGACGAGGGGGCTGCTGAGCGAATTCCCCAGGTGAGATATGTCGTCCTTGTATTACTTTTCGCACCTTACCTAACCCGGAATCCCCCAGGCTATTGAATGGGCAATGGATATAGGCGTTGACATCATCGTCATGGCCTTCGCCTTCTCCGACACCCAGGACGGGATCCGCAAGGCGATTGTGAATGCCAAGGCAACCAGGGATGTGCTTTTCTTTGCAGCTGCATCAAACAACAGACATAATGAAAGGAACCCAGTCGGCTTCCCAGCACGCATGTCGGAAGCCATCCGAGTCAACTCGTGCACTTGGCAAGGCCACCCCTCGAAATTCAGCCCTCCTGGGTTTACGGAGCGGGACAATCTAGCCACGCTTGGCGAGGAGCTCTATGCGGCCTTCACAGAGCTGAACTACGACAATTCAAGGCCCTCGTATCGGAAACGGCTGTCGGGAACTTCCGGTTCTACAGCCTTAATGGCGGGCATCGCAGGGCTAGTGCTGGAGTTTGCGCGGACTACGTCAACACGGGGAAGCAATGTGGAGAATGCTGAACGCCTGCTGAGAAACGAGGGAATGATGGCGATTTTGCAGCATTGCATGGTGGGGGGCTATACACTCCCACCAGACAGGTACCGCAACATCAAGCCGTGGGTCCTGTTCCACCCCCAGGCACCACGGGAGGTAGCGGTTTTTCAAATTACGCAGCAACTGAAAGATTGTATGTAGCGCTATTTCTGCATTATTGGGTAGACAGATTTCCATCTTAACGAGTGCCAATCCTCCAAAACAAAACAGGAGAGACAAAAGAGGCCCGATCAACCATCATAGCAAGCATCCAAAGCCGTAGTACAAAGAAAACCCTATTCGACCATTCCATCGTAGCCAGCAATTGGCACCAATCCTTCAATATCATATCCCTCGACCTCCTGATCCTCCTCGTCCGCTTCCATCTCATCCAGTTCAGCCTGCTCGTCCGGATTCAGCCCCGCTTCTTCGCCACCATGACCACCAGTGGCCTGCGTATCCCCAAACGTAGCCACCTTCTTACTCACGCAGGGGATCCACCTGATCTCATGCAACCGGTACGCATAAACAAAGTCACTCGTCTCCTCCACCGTCGTCTGCCGCACGTTCTCGGCGCTTCGCGTCACCCCAGCACCACCACTCACGGGGACGTTGTGCGCCGACCCATCGCCCGAGCCCTCGAGCGTAGTCGACGACGTGTCGGCATCGCTCGTCCACACGGAAGCGCCGCGCGCAATCCGCACGCCCGTGACCAGGTACAGGCTCCAATTCAAGCGCCACCACTTGGTCTCCTCGGGCACGTCGCCCGCCTGCAGGACCTGTCTGACGTACTTGAAGTCCGGGACAAACATCTCCGACTCGAGCGTCTTGAGCTTCCACTCGCCCTCGGCCGAACGAGTCTTTTGCGATTGAACCTTGGCGGCCAGGGGCGCGCCGCGGATCTGCGTCCAAATGCTGAACGAGTTCTCCAGCTTCTTGTACATGTCGATGGTCACGTTTCTTGTGCTCCGCATTGTCGCGAAAGTATTCGATGCCAGGGGTCACCAGGTCCGAAGCCGTGGAGAATACCGCGTCGCCTGGCTGGCGCGGGTTCTTCAGGACCTGTCCCAGCACGAGCGATTTCCCGGGCTCGAAGCCCTGCGACGGGGTGAGAAACCAGTTCTTGTCGGCAGAGGAAGTCATTTTTCTCTTCTCCGGGAGCTGGGCAGCGGGAAATCAAATAGAACTACAAACAAAAAGCAGTTGAGTGAATATGAGTTGTTCTGCGTCGGGAGTTGGCGCAGTCATCAACGGCGTCTTCCGAAGTGAGGGGTCCACAGGTCACATACCATCCAAGGGGCTGAAAGTTGTTGAGAAAAATGGACGGAATACTCCGTAATCCAATCAACAGGCGCATGATGGATGCCTGAGAATCCAATCTTTGACCAACATATTCTGTACGACGTCAATTCCGATGTCCAATTTCATTGTGGAAAATGAAGGGAGAGTTAGTAAATAAGCGAATACATTTAGCAGGTCCCATTTGTTAAAGAGATTAATTTCATCAGGTATGTAGGAAAGAGTGATTGATGGCCGTCAAACCTTCCGACTGGTCCAAAATTGCAGTGCTCGTGCCGAGTTGAAGAAGTTTCTCGCGGATTGAATGGTTCTTGGCACGCCATGGGAGGTTTCCGTATTCGGATTAGTGTTGGTTTCCTGGCTGATGTTGATGGTGGTGGCTCACTTGCGAGGCTAAAATTGCAGTGCAGTTGCTGACACCGGTCCTCAAGCCACGGGTCACAATATTGCAACAAAAGAGCCAGCAATGGCAAAGGTTAACAAAGAATTCGAAAATCGAGAAACATCCACTTATTTAATTAGATAATCTCGTGTCAATATAGAAAAATTGTATGTCGTAGCGTTTTCAAGGCCCATATTACATATGTTCAGGGCTTGGATTGTATCGTCAATGTCCGACACATGGAATTGATCAATCCGACTCCCGCATGCAGTTAGAAGCTCTGATGTAATGAACTTTGGAGCATTAATTTTTCCCCGTCTTGATTTGTAGCCGCTTGATCCTGAGAACCTGAAAACGGGCAGGTCAACCTGTCCAGAGAGGCCAAAAGTTGCAGTGCAGTTCAGCTCTATTGGTCCAGAAATTCAGCTCCGCTCGCCGTCTTGAACGCGACCAGCCACCGCTCCAACACCTTTGCCACGCGGCCACTGCATTGCCTTCGTCAGCCACATCATTCGACCACATGGCAAGGCGCTTTCTTGTCTGGACGTCTTGACACCTGCCGCTTTCCGAACACCGTTATAAAGACCATCAAGATAGTCATTCGAGGAAAAAAGGTGATACACTGTGCTTGTGTTCTACAAATGAGTTTGACACTAACAGATGTCTTAAATATTAACAATAGCAGCGCTAATAACAAGGACAGGACAACGCCTAATATAATACCTTTGCCTCGTGTTCCTAAATCCAAGCTCATCCCCAATATGATTGTGTGGCAGATTGTGATTTTTTGCTCCTTTCCGCCACAACCTCCCCGAATCTCACAAGTGGCGAGACGATGCAGGTTTCTTTTCTGGCTCAACGAAGTTCCAAACCTTAGAAAAACGATTCCCCTTCCATATTCTTGTCTCCCCAACTGCCGAGTCCCCACTGCAAAATTGTCGTGTGCGTGCGGTGGAGTCTCAACAAAGCAGAGGGGGAGCCCGATGCTTTCAACGCCAAGGATCTCCCTGAAGCAAACCAGCAAAGTCTTCTCCAACAGGGCAGCTCTCAACACAACCACACAACATCAGCCCGCATAGCTCAGGGGTAGAGCGTATCACTAGTAGCTATCCCAGTCCAATAGGTTTATGATAAGGTCATCAGTTCAATTCTGATTGTGGGCATTCAAGTTTCCTTTTTTTGCACATGTCATGTTCCCAAGGTCACAGAAACAAGCGAGAACGAATCAACCCATAACGGACAGTGGTTTGCCCTGGATAAACCGGGATTCCTGTTTTTTTTTTCTTTTGGGGGAGAGGGGGGGAGGGGAGGGTTGTTATAAGAATAGATCTTTCTCGTGTGCACGGTTCAGGTAGCAATGTCTCTAGTTCTGTGGAGAAAAACATCCACAACTGGAGTTCCTTCTTCATGACTCCCTGCTTGTACCTCCATACCAGGGTCCATTCTCTCCAGCCACTCGAGCATGATATTGATAATCCCCTCCACCCAACATGCACCCATCAACAAACATCCACTTAACCATTGCCCGCATAGCTCAGGGGTAGAGCGTATCACTAGTATCCATCTAGGTCGATGATAAGGTCATCAGTTCAATTCTGATTGTGGGCATGGGATCATCGAACAATTCCAACTCATTGGGTTGGAACTCCTTTTTGGCTGACGCTTCATGGAATTTTGGTTATGCTGACGAAGGAAGCTAAGGGTTATTTGGAGAGTGATGAATAGCGTATGTGGTTGATAGCTGAAGGGTTGATAGCGATGGTGTTCAAAATAAACGAGTATGAAATGCATGAGGGGAAGAGCATGTTGGTGGCATCTCTGGTCTCGGTTTTAACGGGATGCACGAACGAGTATGATTTTGCGAAATAGAAGGAGTCGCGAATAGGTTTGTATGCATGTGTGATAATCGTAAAGTTTGTAAACGGGGAAGTGAGGATTAGACGATGAAGCTAAATGAAGACGATATCGGAAGAGCTGAAGAATGTCGTGGGTTACGGATCGTGGCTGGCTTAATCAGGAAGTGAGGATAGCCTTTAGAGATGAGTCGTCACGAAGTTGGGACGGCGCTGCATGTACTATGTCGGCACAGCACGTGAAGGCAAGCGACAGGTCAAGAAATCCTGGTCCAACACGAATACTGAGCCTCATCCCCGCGGCGCGTCACACATGAGATGCAAAAAGGGGGCACAGACCAGAAAAACACCGTGATTTGACCATATATACAATTTCAAGCACGGCGACAGGTTGTGACCTTGGCCAGCCGTATTCTGGCTTTTCCTATTCGCGCACACCGTCTCCTCTGTCTTGCGTTGCAAGTGCGGTCTCTAATTTCCCCTGTTGTAATTACAAGATAAAAGCCGACACATGACGGTAAAATAAACAGACGGGAGGGCCAAGGGGCGCCGCGCAGGGCCACGGCCCCAGCTGCACTGCACTGCACAGCGCGGCAGGGAGCATGAAGACGTGCGCATATGCAAAACGCCCGACACCCCCAATGACCCGTCCCAAAAGAAAAAAACTCTCAATCCTTCCGGATCCTAGTGAAGTATGCCCTTCAAACCATATGCAGCGTTTGGCCGCTATGGTTGTAGCGTGGTGGAGTGCATGGAAAGAAAGTCTAATCGTCCCGGGTATCCAGCCACCATGCAGCAGCAAAAGTCCAACAAGTAGACCGAGCAATGCTTTTCAGTGCGAGTGTGGAAAAGAAGCAAAGTATAGAAACTAAGAAACATGCTCCTTCTATGCTGAGCCGGCCCAGTGAGGGAAAGTTGTGCCGTTGTCGTTATGTTGGAAAAGAATGCTTGCTGCGTGGCGTCCGCTGGAGCCGTTCAAGGTGGCTTCGAAGCGATCGTCGGATGCTAATTTTGTTGTACAGGCCGTTCATCGTCGTCGCTGGTGAGTTCTCCAGCACCCTGGCAATTCGCGAAGAGCTTCGCGAAGAGCCAGGAGGCTGAGTCCGCCACAAGCGTGTGTATTTCTTTTATTTTCTTGTGTCGTTTTGTGCATTTCCTCTTTACCGATCCATGCTCCCCCGGCGCGCTGTCCTCCAGTCCTGCTCTTGTTCTTGCTCGCGATGTGTGGGCATGCCGCCAGCTGACGCTTTAGACATCGACCCAAAGCCAGGCATGGACGACCACCTGTGCAAACGCTTCTGGGCCTTGGTGGCCGTTTCACTCTCCACGGGGGAGGAGGCAGAAAGAGGCGACGGCGGCGTCACGCTGTCGGGAGAGTTGTTGGTGCGGCTCGTGTTCGCAGACGAACCGGTCGTGTTGGGCGAGTTGTAGATGTACTCGCCATCCACATAGACGGCAGTAGACACAAAGGTGGAACGGCGATTGCGGCGGCGTGTGTATCGTTGCTCGAGGCGGAAGAGCTCGATCTTGGCCTGGATGCGGTCGATGATGCTGAGGCCCATGATGGCGATTGTGGATCTATCGGGGAGAGGATGCAAGGACGACGCGTCAAATCTTCAGCAGGAAGAAGTGTTTCTGGTGGTGAAGACCGTGGTGGATTCGTTGATTGATGAGTTTCGGATTATCCCACGGACTCGCTCGGGGGATCGACGTGGACGTGCTTGGTGGAGGGATTTGCTTCCGTAGCTGCAGCTGTGCTGTGGGAGACGGTAGCTAGTATTAAAGAGGGACTACTGTGTAAGATGATAAAGAATGAATGCTGGAGTTGCAATGCGCGAGCAATTCCGTCACCAGGCTGGGAATCGAGGGGTTGTCCTGGAGGAGGTTGGGAAGCAAGAAAAGGAGGGAGCTGGGCTGGTGAGGAAGTCGCCAAAGAAATGGGACTCGGAGCGAGCTGTCGGGTTGCGACATGGGCTGCCATCGCGTCGAGGACGGCAGGGGTGCAGGGCCAGTGGACTGGTGCAGGCCCACCGACTGCTGGCACACGCGATTCCAGTTGGCCAGCCGCTGTTTCTCGTCTCGCTCGAGTCCCCACAGCATTTTAATCGCTTGCTGGGATTGAGTGAATGGCGTCTCATGGCAACGTCCGTGTGGCAGCGTTAGCGTTGTGACCACCACAGCGCTGGCGCCAGTCTGGCCTAGCGGCAGGAGGCTAATGACGCAGGGGCAATATGCAGCACGCTGGAAGAACTCGTCGCTGAAAAAATCGAAGCGTTCTCGCGTGCCCCGAGTTGCATGCATATGCAAGCCCAAAGAAGGAAGAGAAGGATGGAAGAGGGGTTTTTGCCAGCGTCTTTGCACCTTCCGTGTTGGGTGGCATATTCTTCTACATCGAAGGCCCAGGCAAGCGCCGCCCTCCTCCGCAACGTCTTCATGCTGCACAGGTGGCAACTGCTCGGAACCCTGTTGTCCAGCACAGCTCGCTCCGTGAACGTGCAGAAACTGGCCCACTCTTCAGCACGCACACATTCTTTTCCCCAGTTCAGCTTGGTTGGCGTTCCTAAACGAATCGGGTCCACTCCTAAAGAGCTAGTGACCATCTAGCGGCTTTTCTTTCTGTTTGACGTTTCCCTCTGGTGTCAAGTTCTTTTTGACCTTTCGATGCCAATTTGTGTGCCTCCCACTTTCCTTGTGTGGACCCATGCTTCCCACGTGCGATGTGGCACCACCACTGGCCTGTGCTTGACTGTTTGTGCCGCGGGCTCACACGTTTGTTTGAGCGTTGCTTCAATAACACCAACCATTATCCCCTCCAATTAAATACTACCAGGTCGATTCAACGGCTCATTCGGATCTTAATAAAGGGCGCAGTAAATCCGGGGAACTCTCATCGCACGTTTTAGTGCGTCGATGTCTGGCTGTATCGTCCGGTCTCGCTCCAGTCCGAGCTCGAAGCACCGGACCTGCCCTCCCTTTCTTCCGCAAATGCCAACTCTTCCGCAAACTCCACTCCGACACGATAGTTCCGCACCTTTAATCCGTAATTCTCCCTGTTTATCTTCGCCTGACGTCAGAGCAAGGAACAATCAACATCGCCATCTTAAAGATGAGATCTCAGTCTGGTTGCCTTCTCGAGAAGCGAGGCAACAATCCCGTCCTTCATGGAGAGCATCCTTGAGGCGTGCAGAGCTCAATCTCGCCAACTGTCATGCATCGATTGACCTTTTTGGCAAACTCCAGAGTTGTTTCTCGGAGTTATCGCTTTGTTTCAGGTCTTCCGCCACTACTCCACCCAACGGCTCTAGTCACGTCTGAATCGAGTTTCATCATGCACATCGGCACAGCATGCGCAACCGGCAGCCCAAGAACTTGGCGGCCGATGACGACTAAGCAAGCCAAGATGGAACGACACTGACCTCAATAATGATAAACTGAGGTCTCGTTGAAGGCCACTTCATCCCTCGATGCTACCGAACTTTGCATCGTCCACTGCTTACTGTCTGCGCTGGGTAGCCGGCGATGAAATGGCATGTTGATTGATATTTTGCTGGCTGTCCCGCCTTGTTCAGCTTCTTCCCAGCGACCGCTGCATCTTCAGTCATCGGCACTGCTGGACCGACGTTCGTCGGACATGGCAAACACAAGTGCTTACCCGAATCGATCAAGACTGTCTCAAGCCAGCTAGCTCGTACATGAGGATGACACGACATACCAAAACAGAAGAAATGTTCCGGGCTACTACAATGATGGCATCCGCCGGCCCGACGAAGAGCAGGCCCGAAAGGAGATAGGTCCCAATCATGATGTGGAGAACCGAGTATACAGACTGTATTCAGTCCGCGATGATGAGGGCTTTGCCCTCCTCAAAAATGCCGATGTTGACACCCATCCGGACCTGCGCACTGGCAGGCTCAAACTCGGTCCTGGTCAAGTCCCGGAAGCGGCTGAGCAATCCACAGAACCAATCGACGGGTCCTACTCTGCTGACAAAATCAGGCTTTGGCTTGTCGGTAGGGTACCGGCGCATCTGAAGACTCAGCGATACGTTGCTCAAGAGATCAGTGAGGATTGCCCCCACCGCCCATAGCGAAGGGCCGATGACGCTGTGGGACCAGAAGATGCAGACCGTCTTGAAGCCAAGCTCCCAGTTCATGATAACAATATTGACAACGGCAGTAATGGCGAGAAGATATTCTAAACCAGGATGCCTCTTTGCAGTCCCCCTTTGGGACGGGGCTGGAGATGGCGGCCTGGCTTTGGCTCGAGCATATGAATAGGGTCTCGATACTGAAACGCTCTACTGAAGTAAA